AAGGGTTATAGAGTTGTCGGGTCCAGGTCACCTAGGGTCCAAAACTGAAGGTTAAAGTACCCAGTTTCTTCTCCGGGTCCAGGTGGGGGAACCTGGGGGATACTCAGGTGCTGCTGCAAGAAGTCCACTTCAGCCGCAGGGCGAACCAGGCCTACCCGACTTGAGCCGAGAAATGCAAAGGGCCACCACCTTGGGTGGGCAAGGATGTGGCTTGAACCACGCCACACCGGGCTCGTTGTTCAAAGGGACGACAAACCAATAGACAAAGCAACCCAGATGCTGTTGTGTGTTTTCGAAACTTGGAAGAGCGAGGCGACCCTACAGCTGACAACTTTTGTTGCCACACACACTCCTCCTCAGCATCATCCGGACGCAGGCCAGACAAGAAATGTGGACCGCAAAGCATCCGGGACGCCACAACCTCCTGATGTCATCTTGCCTGACCTTCAAAAAACACCGAACATACCGTCAACATCGCCCCGACAGCGGCCAGCATCCCCGCCAGCATCCCCTACAGCCTCAAACCAACCTCCCCAGCATCCCTGGCATTCCTGCATCACCGGCATCCTGCCAACCTAACCTTTCAAAATGGGCCCCTTCTTGGAGTGGCCCCCTGCGGAAAATCAAGAAGCCCATAAACCAACCAAAAACCAATCAAAGACAATTCGAGATTGAAGCAACTAGGCGCCAGATTCAAGTTCACCACAGCCAGGGGTAGAAAGGGGTTTCCTCTTTGCTGCCTCTTTGGCAGCTGCTTGCCACGCTAAGTGTTTAGGTGAAGTGTTTGTGTGTGTGTGTGTGTTCGATGATGATTTGGTTGATCAATGACCCCTGCGGATAGACCAGAATTCGTCCCCTTCAGGCAGGGCAATTGTCCGTTGTATTTTCCGTGGGCTCCTGTGAATAGACCCCTGATTTCATAGTGGCACATTATGCCCCGACCTTGTTATTGCTTGACACCATGAGCTGACACATGAGGAACGATGATATTCAAAGTCGCTATGCTTCGCCAAGTGGTATTCCACTACACTTGGACTGACAACTTGCGATTTCTAAGCTGGAGCTCGTGCGCCACGCTGCCAAAGTGCACTTCCTGCATCACACTTGTACTGAAAAGCTGCGATTTTCTAGCTCAAGCTGCCAAAGAAGAGTATTTTGCTACTACAGTTGTACTGAAAAGTTGCAGTTCTCAAGCCAGAGCTGCCAAACCATGCGACATGATTGGGCAATCCCATATGAAGACAAACAAGGATTGTCATTTGATTGGGAACGGTAGGAACCTGATAACGTCTTCAAACTCCTAAAAGTCGTCCATTACGTTTTGCCGCGTGCTTCAAACAAAGGCCCCAGTTTGGACCACGGATTCTCGACCAATCCCCCAAACAAGTGGCAGCTGACCCAATAGAAGTAATCACACAAACAAAGAAGCCCAATGCGCTTGTCTCCGCCCCCTCCCCCCTTCCCATGTGCTTTGCCGCTTGCATTGGGCAACGGGCCGTGTGCGTGCTTCAGGCGCTGGACTGGTCCAATTCGGCGGCGCTCTCAGCGGATTTCAGGTTCGCCTAGCGAACCTGGAGTACCACTGGTCTGGTGCATCTGTCGACGATTTGACGCTGAGGGCACAGCTTGTGCGCAGATTGCCACCGGGAGGGTACCTGGAAGATTGGTTTCCTCTTCAAGGGACCCAATGTCTGGTGCTATGTTAGTTGGAGGGGGGGTATCACTTTTATACGGCTATGAGTTTTCCTGGGGAACCACCTCCAAAGTGCTTGGTTCGCCCATGATGCCCACCAAAAGGGCCAGTCCTAAAAAGCATTCAATCCCATAATTTGAGAAATCAGGACTGGGGTAGACTTAATATACATTTCACATTTTACCAGTGACTCAAAGGGAAGCAAACAATAGAAAAACACTCTATATTTGAGCCTTAGTCTCATCATGAGGACACAAAGCTCAGTTGTTCAGTGGCACCCTTTTTCCTTTTTTTTTGGTGGCCGCCCCACTAGAAATCTAAAAATGGTATTCCCCAAAAAGGGTCAAAACCCTTCGGGCGGTCGCTCGGTCGCTCGCTCGGTGCCAAGGACTGGCTGCTGCATGCCAAGGCCGCAGCCGTGAAGTCGATCCCAGTGGCAGTCCCTGCTGGGGGGGTTGGCGTTTTTTAGAGGTCCCCGTAAAATGGTGGTCTTTCTTTTGGGCTTCCCTTTAAAACCAACCAAAATTGGTTGAACTCAAAAAGACACCCCCAAAATGATGCTCTTCCTTGTCTTGGTGGCTCCCAGCCATCCGGTTCCTTAGCTTTTAAGCCTTCTAGTGTTTAGTGGTAGTTTCCATTCAACCCACTAGTGTTTATTGAGGGGTTGTCTTTTTTTAGACTAGGTCCCCCAGCTAGGTGCCCTTTCTCGCCCCTTTTTTGGTTGGGAGGGTTCCTTTACTAAAATAGACAAAACAGAAAACACAAGTTGGTACCAACTTATTCTGTTCTCTCTACTGGAGACGGAGGAAGGTCCTCCAAAATGGTGGTCTTCGTTTTCTTAGTGGCTCCCAGCCATCCGGTTCCTTAGCTTTTAGGCCTTCTAGTGTTTAGTGGTAGTTTCCAATTAACCTAAAAGTTAAACTTTTAGTGGGGGATCTGAGGGCAGCCCAGTTTTGGGTTTCCCCTTAAAATCAACCAAAGATGGGTTCAACTCAAAAAGACAGACCTATTCCCTCCGTGGATCAAAAGCAATTTGGGTCAAAACGTCCGGCTGTCAATTCATTGCTCAAGCTTCATTGTTGAACTTCCATTGCCGAATGTTCTCCTGGGGAAGAAACGCGACGGTGTCCGAAGCAAACAAACATGAAACGCCCACCCTAAGATTCAAACTTCATATTTCACCACCGTTGGGACCATGGTTGAAGGATTGTCATCAAACTTGGGGCCCGAGGCCGTTCTGTCAATGGGCGTTCGGAACCCTAGGCTCCATCAAGCACGCCACACACCGCTTTAACCAAGCCCCGAGCAGGCGCCGTCGCGGGCACGCGGGGTGTGAGGCCTCAGAAATCCAAGGCCTGAGGCGCCCAGCCGTCCTTTTGGTTGTGTTTTTCGGAGGCTGCCCTGTTTAGGGCTTGGCTTAAAGGGAAACCAGAAACACGACTCTAAGTCCTTGATTTTTTTTTTGTGAGGGGTTTAAAGGGAGACCAGAAACTCAACAACCTGTTTTTTGTTTTGTTTTTGCGGTTTTCTGTTTTGAGACAGAGCCTGTTCCTTGAACTTTCAGGGGAAGCTCCTCAACCAAAATGGTGGCTGATGGCCAAAGAACTTGCACCTCGAACACCTTTAACCGGATCTCGACTGGAGATTCGTCGATTTTCTGTCAGGCGCTAACAAAAAATGAAAGGATGTGGCCGCCATCGCACCGGAAGAATCTCTCGTGAATGAGCAAAGTTGCAAGAATACTTTTCCTTTTTCTCCTTCGTGTTGGGCCTTTCAAATCAAAACAAAGCGCGTCCAGGTTTGAACCCATGGCGGGGCAGACTTGCAGGAAACTGTTGCCATTGACAGGAAAAAGACTCATTTGTTTGCATGTGCTGCTGACCGCGGATAAATGAATCCTGCAAAATAAAATATGGAGGTGTTCCCTTCAAGTGATGAATCCCCACACCCAGGGACACCCCAGGGGTTCCGCTTAAATTTCGGGGTTCCTGTCGTTTGGGCACTTTTGTCCCCCTATGCAGCTTCCTTTCAGAAGAACACATTTCGGCTGTATGAAGTCAAGCACCGTTGTAAGATTCAGCACAGCGCCAAAACGAAAAGAGTCATGAACCTTGGGGATCTCTTGTGCTGAGGTTCATTGGACCAAGATCTCAACTCTTACTTTTTTGCTTGGCATTGCCAAGCTGAGGTAGTTGGCAGTGGAAACGTAGAACCCCTCCCCCCCCCCCACAAATGGTTAGTTTTTCACGAGAGTTGCCCTGAGCAAAGAGGTCCTCAAAAACATCTCCGGTGTGGCTTTCGAGGAGTTCGCGAGGGCATTTTTCGCAGCTTCGGACCCACGGTGGGGCCAGGAGATAAAAAGTCCCTCTCAGAGCAGCCTAGGTCTTCAATTCAAGTAGTTCAGATTCTGTTTGGCCGGGAGAGTAGCTGTGGACTGGGATTTGCGGGAAGGTTTACAATGAGGGGTGAACATGTTGGGTTTCGGGGAGGGGGGGGTCATCAACTTCTTTGGCTATTGAACAGCTGCTGTATGTAAAGTGTTCCAAACAAGACCCACACAACTGATTCTGACCATGGCGCAGATGCCAGCGAGAGCAAAAGGAAACGCGGGGATCACGCCTCATGATGAACGCAACATCCACGTGGGCACTCATCACATGAGCCACAATCAAAACCCGGGTAGATGAAGCTTAGTAAAGGGCAGTCCCAGTCGGAAATAGTTGCGGCCGCCTTCTTAATTCTTTACATGGTTCTTGGGTTCACCTGTTTTGTACCGATCGGTTTGATTGTGACTCACATTTGCTTAGAGTTCCTTCGGCGAGGCAAACGGGTTGCAAGACACGGCTCATTGGCCCGGTTCAGCCGGATATGTCCAGGCGTCTTTTTCTGGATACAAGTTCTGCTGTTCATGGGCTGGGTACTGTAATCGCAACAGCACTAGACCTTGTAGGGTCCTAACAAAAAAATATACCATGGTAACCTCGGATAAATCCGGATCATACAACCAGGGGCGGTTCCCCTTTAAGTGGGGGGATGCCATTTTCGCGGATCTGGATACGATTCTCATTGGAATCCCTATTTTTTGTTGCTTTCTGGTTCGTACATGGACCAGTACATGGAGGTTTCAGTCTCAAGCGGTCAACTGGGCGTGTTCCGCGGAGCGGAACGCAAGACTTCGAAGGGGGCAACATGGGCCAGTTCGCAGGGAGTGATCCCTGCGAGAATCCAGTTGCGAGCATTTCAGTCACCCATTTGTTCTTCCGAACAGATGTCCAGCAAAAGTCAGCACTTGCAAAATACCCTTTCGGTCACCGAACGGTCACCAGCGCCGCAAGTTTCTTGAAGCAATGGAGCCAATGGAGCTCACAGAATCAGCGAATGATGATGATGACGAGGAGGAGGAGCGCGGTGTGGGTTCCCGCTTCGGCGTGGACCAAACAAACTTGGGGCTCCCGGCCAGCAGTGCAAGGTGTCAGTGGTGGTTTGGTGCTTGGGAACCGGTAGCCCGACGGAACGGAAGGAATCCGAAAATGGAAAGCTAGGAGAGGGTTGGTTTGGGGGTTCAAACGAAGAAATTCAGAAACCTGGGGGGTTCATAGAACCACCCTTCTTTACCTAAGGATTGTCATCATCCTAATTGGGTCAACCATTCTTTTCAGGGGGGTGGAACCTGAGGGGTTGGATAAGATTGAGCCTTCTGAAGGTGGGAAAGGGCAAACGAGTCCGGATCTCTGGGTACGTGCGCGACCTTTAGGGAGTTTGGGGGTGGCCAAATAAAAAAGCACAGCAACAACTTGTGTGGCGGTGAAGCCTGAGTAGGGGGTGGTGAAGCTTAGGAAAGACGTTTCTTTCTGCGCACTTTTCGGTCCCAGGGTTCAGAATGTGGCACCCGAGAGGGGTCCAATTTGATTTTCCACTGCGCATGTTTCCGTGTTATTTGTTCATTTTCGGATAAATCACGAATTGCAGTTTCATTTAGCCATTTGTTCAGAATTCACCCAGCTCAGTTTCCGCGCTACACGAAACAGTTCACTTTGCCTAAGAGAAGCCAACTTGATTAGCACCAGAAATGCTACATATTTTCTCTGGCATCTTTGGTGAGCACAATCAGTCATCCCTCCCCCCACCACCCTAGGTCCAACGTGAACACATTTCTGACAGGTGCAGCAACATGAGCGATCCCGGCTCCCAAACAACGCGAATGTGGCAACTACAAAACTGAGACACTGGCACACCCGCAGGTTTCCAGTGTTCAGAAACAACATATATATATATATATATATGGGTGTGGGTCAAAATTAACCGCCAGGGGACCGCAGGTTTTAGTCCATGTTTCCATTTACCAGGGTTGCATTCTGGTTACCTATTTTTGACCCACACCTATATATATATATGTATACAAGAAGTTCTACAAGAAAATTGAACCAACCAGAGGTTCCGGCGAAAGACCAGTAGACGTCCGCCAGGGTGGCCCCTTCTTCTGCCTATTTGGTCCAAGCGGATTTCCCAGCCCCAAAGCTACTTGCGGAATTCTCTTGGTATGAAATCTGAAAAACAGGATGATTTTTTGGAGGGAAAGCGAGACCAAAAGCAAGCCGATTCTATTTTTAGAGGGGTCAGTTGGAAGATTCTAAGGGACACCACGAGCTTCCGCGCAAAGCGACCTCCAGGACCTCCTGGATATGGGAGAAGAAACCACCGAGATGGTCACGGAGGAGCGAGCGGGCGCTGAGTAACTGTCCCCAACCGGCTTCAGGTCCAGAGTGATGAAAAGGATCTTGGCAATTGGGTGTGGCTCAAAATTAAACGATCGGAGGGGCAAACCGCAGGTTTTGGTCCATGCTTCTTGCCAGGGCAACTCATTTTGGCACCGGTTTTTTGAGCCACCAATTGAGACTTTATTTTGGGGAATTCCGAGTTCCCAGGTGTCTCAAATAAACGGGGGTGGGAAACCCCCTTGGTTTCCCTTTCAAGCTTCCCCAAAAAGGGTGCCACGCCTCAAAAATGTCGGGCCCATGTATATACCCCTGTCCACTGGAACCCACCAGGTCCCAAAGGAACAAATAGTCTTCTCATGGACTTTTAAGGTTCTACGGACAGACTGAACCAACCTTGCCCAAAAGGCCTGGTGTTCCTTTACCCAGTGCTTCCAGGTACCACTATAGTAGGTCACCAAGCTCTTGCTAGCAGCTCTTGCATCATGGGAAACCCCCTGGTTACCTAGTGGCAACTGGAACTGGGTATCTTCCCTTTGAACCCAAGTGGTCGGTTCCGTCACTTCTTTGGGGCTCGAAGGCTCCGATCAAACCGAACCCTCTTTGAGTTTTGTGAGTCTGAAGCTCGCAGCTTTCCAGTCGCTGCTGGGTGGTGATGCTTGGGATGTGGGCTGGTGCCGGAGATGCTGGCTGGTGATACCAGTGTGCTTGTTCTGGTGCAGCCCTTGGGGACTCAGTAACGATTGGTCTTCTTCAGGAATAGGACGGGAAAGCAGCAAAACAACATCCCCCGAAAGACGGCAAGAGAGATGAAGAGAGATGAACCGACAGGATCCCTGCAGTTTGCTGGTCAAAAGACGAAAAATGAAGGAACCAAAGACACCAAAGGGCCAAACCGTATCTACTGTCTCAGGTGACGCCTGTTTAGGCCTCGAACAGTTTGGGCTGGCCTGTTTGAACCGTGTGACCCGTTTTGTCTTCTCCCAAGGACTTGATTGCTGGCGTTGTGTCAAGAGAGCACTGGGAGGGGTGGGAGAGCGTTTGTTGAAAATGATGCTGGCGATGCTGGGAATGTTGTTGGGAGGGGATGCTGGCTGGTGAATGCTGCGGTGTGCAATGCCAGTGATGCTCCCTTGCTTTCCCTTGCTTCCCCTTCCCTTGTGTTCTCTTGGTTTCTCTTGCTTTGCCTAGTCTGTTTAGTTTCCCGTGAATTCCCGTAGTTTCCCTTAGTTCCCGCTTTTCCTTTGTCGTTTTATGTCCCCTTGCTTTCCCTTCCTTTCCCTTTGCACCTGCCACAGCTCAGGGACGTCGCTTTCCGTTGTTTTCTGTGCAGATTGGCAGGATAACGAGTTGTCGGTGACCGGCCACGGTCAAACCGTGGAGATGAACGAGGCACGTGAAAACGCTGAGATGCCATGTGGAAAGGTGTCCGTTTGTTTTTGCTTAGGGATGCCAATCAGTGCCCAAATTTCTCCAGGCGCGATGTACCTTTGAGCTTCCGGGTCGTGTGCATGAGTTGTGTTGGGAATTCAATCCATCAAAGACTAGGTCGCCCAGCAGTGCCCTTTCACCCTTTTTTTGGGGAGGGTTCCCTAGTAAAATAGACTACAGAAAAAAGGGTACCCTTCTTCCAACCTCTCTACTGGAGGACCTAGAAGAGTCTTCTCACAGCTTTTGCATCAGTTCCCAAACTCTGGCCGTCGAAATCATACCATGCCCTCTCGTCGACACTCTATGGAAGTGACTTGTGGCTTTCCGAAGCCTTGCAAGTCTGGCCCCAAATCAACCGAGATCCATTGACCGGTGAAATCGACAGACGCTAGCCCAAAAAGAGGCTTTGATCACACAAGGAGATCCTCCACAACATAGGTGCTGTTTGAGTGGCCCATGTTATTTATCAGAAAAGTATATAGAAGTGCCCAAGTGCGATTTCTGATTAACTGCATTTATCCCGGGCTTCGATGTCCTCAAACTGTTTTATCTATTCGGGTAGACCAAATATGAAGCAGAATCAGAGAATCAACCTGGGCATAGTTTGGCCCACAAATTTGGCTGGCTTTGAGGGACCAACTGAGGAATTTCTCGCATTTTGCCGCACGTGAGCAAGAGCGTTTTTCACCAGCCAGATAAAGTTGAAGCGTGGTACAATCAACCAACGTGTCAAAAATCCCGCGAACCAACAGGGAAATCAGCCATTGTGCGCATTCACCCATTTGGATTGGTTAAGCGCAACTAGAATGATCACTTACTTCCGCTTGTGCGGGATCTCAGGCAAGAAACCCCTTCAAAGAGCGCTTCAAGCCAATCCAAATCGCTACCACTTAAAAAAGAAACTAGTTCTTGACAGCTGCCCATCAATCCTGAGTTGACCGAAAGCCTTGTTGATTGCTGTTTGTGCATCGGCGGAATCGTGAATGCAAGACCAACATGTAGCAGGCAAACCAAGGAGGCAAACAGCCGAAGTCCACTAAGCCATGAAAACCGCAAGCCACACGTGCCAGCCCAAACCTCAAATTGCTCAAAGCGCCGGGATCAGGCGATGTTCGAGCGTTACCAAATGGTACAGGATCAAAGCTTCGAGGAGTGCGTCCGACACGACCTGGCGGGTTTAAAAAAATTGGACCCATGTTTGGTAGGAACCCTGGCATTGGTTGGTTTGTTGGTTGGTGTTTGTTTTTGGGGGTTGCCATTGGAGGTCTTGAACTCAGATAGCGATGGGGTTGGTTTTGGTTTTCCACGGGCCCGGATTTCCTGTTGGGGATTTCGCAACCAGGTGCATCATGAGATGGATCACCCGAGGGCCCTCGGGCAGAGCTGATGTTATTGGGCTTGCGCTTGATGGAATTCGCGGGTGTCGGGTTCCCAGGGGTCAATTGTTTTTTGTGGGGTACCCCTTTTCGGGGTTGGAAAGGGAAGCCAAGAGGAAGACCACCATTTTGGTGGGTTCCCTAAAAAATGGCGCGCCCACCTTTGAGTCGGGCTTTGACTGTCCGCGCGCTTTGAAAGTAGTATTCGACAGTTTTTGCTGCGGAGTACCGCGTTGCCCCCAGAAACAGTCAAATCAAAATAGTGACCCTGGTAGAACAGGAATTTCTTTTGGCCTTCCACGAAACCTTCCGGAAGCTATGCAAGACACCTTCCGCAGGGCTTCCGAGGCTGTTTTGAAGCGAGAAAGCCTTCCGTGATCAACATGGATTCTGCTGAACTCGCTTGGTTATCCTGCGCGCTGTTTACTTGTAGGCGCGCCTCACGCACAAATCTAGTCGTCAAATCTGTGCGCGGTTGGGCGTGCTTTTGGAAATGAGGAAGTTTGCTTCCGCGATTGATCCGTCACCATGCTTGAAACGGCAATACTTGACTCGTTGCTTTTGACACAAAGCTTTGAAGCTTCTGTGGGCCCGTTTGTGCTTTTATGGTGCTTCCGTGTGCTTCCCTGGGGTTGTTTCCCTTTAACCGACCACTTGGGGAGTGACTTTGACGATGGACAAAAATCAGGCTGCTGAAAACAAGGAAAAACATCACCCCTCATTTGTTCCGCTTACTTGTTTGAACCTCAATTCCACTTGCGCTGACTTTCCCACCACGTGATGCCAACCCCTGACCTTCCAAATACGGCCGTCGGAAAACGCTGGAGTCGAGCCTGACCTTCCACACACTTCATTGTCCACGGATCCAAGTCGCCGGTCTTGGGCAGCTTTTTCTAGTTCTGGGTGGATTTTGCTAGGTCCCCCAGTTGTGCCCTTCTCTCCCCTTTTTTGGTTGGGAGGGTTTCCCTACTAAAATAGACAAAACAGAAAAAGTTGGTGCCCTTTTTCTAACCTCTCTCTACTGGAGGACGCTGAGAGGGTCCATGGCGCAGGAGATTCAGATGCCCGTGGCCATGGCCGAGCAGATCCAACAGATTTGGCCGCCTGGCCGAGTCCTGTTTTCCCAAGCCGCCAGGAAGGCTTGTTGTTAGATTTGCACATGTATATATGGTACATCTATAGATTGTTATACCTATATATATACACACTGTTATATACATATATTCATATAGAGACATACTGTTATATACATATAGATATATATGTATATAAATAAATGCTGATTTGTTAATAGTCTTCGATGGCTTGGAGCGGCTTGCATTGTCTGTGCCTGCGAGTTTTCATGGCGGGCTCGGTGAAGATTCGACCGCGTCGGTCCGGGGAAGCCGAGTAGGTGAAGCAGATTGCACTGAGAGCTTGAGGCGGCTGGATCACAACATGAGTGTTTGCAGTTGCCAGGTTTCTGCTTTGTTTTCAAAATCGGATTTAAGATTCAAGATTCAAGAATTCCAGAAACTTGTGTTGAAGTCTTGAATCTTGAATCCCAGTTGTTTGTTCCTTAAAAAAGGTACAACCGCAAAACAATAAAAACAAAAAAAAAACGTCAAAGTCTGGCAACAGCAAAACACGATATTCACATTGAACGTCCCCTCGCAATCTTGGATCTTGGGTCCAGGTTTCTTAATGCCGGGTATTAGGAATCCAAATGCCAGTATGTGGAATTATGGCACACTCCCCCCTTTTTTGGTGGACATGTTTGGCCAAACAGATGCAAACAGTCGTGAAACCGGTTGTTAAATTACAAAGAAACATAGGCACCGGGTTGGCCCCCCAAATGTGGACCTTCTTGGCTGTCTTCATCTGTGATGCCCACTACACCTGACTCTGCAAAAGGAAACAGACTCTCCAACCGTTTAAACCCTTTCTCAGAGAAAAGGTCTGGGCCCAAAACCGTGGAAAACCGTGTAAACCCTCTCTCAGAGGAAAGGTTTGGGCCCAAAACCGTTTAAACTGTTTGAACCGTTTGAACCCTCTCTTCTCTCAGGTGGACCCGGGGGCGGGGGGGGGGGGGTGGGGGGGGCGGGGGGCTTTCATGCTTTCATTTGAGACAGGGCTTAAACGATTTCAACGGTTTAAACGGTTTCAACGGATTAAACGGTGTTGGTCAGAACCCGGCAAGGGGGGGCTTTCCTCTGAGAAAGGGTTAAAACGGTTCAAACGGTTTAAACGGTTTTGGGGCCCTGGCGCTTGGGGGGTAGGGGGGTGGGGGGACCTTTCCTCTGAGAAAGGGCTGAAACAGTTAAAACGATTAAAACGGTTTAAACGGTTGTAGGCCTTCTTTGTTTTTCCCTATAGGTGCCTTTTCAAAGTCTAACTTGAAGTTGGAATTTAAATCATGTTCTAGTTGAATTTTTGATTAGACATTAAATTAAGTTTAGTAAGGACATATTTCTAGCAGAGTGAAGTTGGTGTTTAATAAACACATATTCTTAATTGCAACTCCTAAGTCATTCGACTTTGAAGCGGGTCTTTTTTTTCTCTTTAGGATTGAGATGTCCAATGAGTTTAGACAGACATTAACAGTGAAGCATCCTAAAGTAATGTCTAGTTTGAAAGATGTACATAGGATTTCCTGTTGGAAGACTATGTTTAATTGTACTGCTTACTTCAAGTTTTTTTCCATTTTTGGCAGGGCCTCCTTTCCCAGGAGAGTTGTCCCAGGTTCTAATTAGATTCTGAACAGATTTAAATAGGGCACAGAAGTATTTGCCGCCCTCCCCGAAGCACAAAGAGAGGCAAAAAAACACCGCCGCAAATGCCATCGACACCGGCAAAAAGATCGACCTTTGGGGGGGGATAGCACATATATACATATACATATACATATATATATATATTAATGTTGTATGAGTTTGTCTATTTATTTGCCGCGGTTTTTCTGGCCGCGGTTGGTTTCATCCACTGCAAAAAGGACCCCCCCCACTTGGGTATGTGCTCCAGAATCGCAAACCAAGAGCCAACAATCAGAAGCTGAGCCCTGGCCCGTGTACCCGTGTACCCCATTTAGGTCCCTTCGCCCATTTAGGTCGGCCCTGGTGGCAAAGCTCAATGGCCGCGAAGCGGCTGGAGAGGCAATCTACGACGCAATCCTGGAGGAAGCTCCAAGCCACTCACTTAGACTTGGCCCCGGATCTCATTGGGTCTCTTCAGGTGCCCATTTACCGACTCTTTGGGGAGGGTTCCCCTACTAAAATAGACTACAGAAAAAAATGGTACCCTTATTCTAACCTCTCAACTGGAGGACTGCTCTCCGTACCGCTTTGGCCAGCCTATTCAGTCAGAAGCCCCATTGGGGGCTCCTGATTGCTCCATTTGTAGCCCGTTTTCTCCTTTTCCCTTTGGACAACCTGGAACGGATAAAACAGAGGGTCCAAGTAGATTTATTTATTGGGTGGGTTGCACATTGGTGTAACTTTTAATGGAGATTACTCAGGTGGGGCTGTATGTCCACCAACAATGATTGAAGCGGTTCCCTACTCAAATTCATAGCCACATCGTCTTTTAACCAATATTGATTGCGTTTACGCTGGCATATGCACATGGGACAGGAAAGGCACTCTGGTTGTAGGGTTGTTGGGGGAGATCCACAAGCTGGGGGCAGAAGGGTCCTTCTTATTGTGGATTCTTCATGGAGAAGGATTGGCAAATTGGGCATCCGTGTTGAGAGCAGATAGTGAATCCCCGTTTCTTTCAGACCACCTTAGTCAACGATTCCTGAAAGTTCCGAATTCCTGACATATTACAATTCTCTTCGAAAGAACCAGAAAAGCCTTTGCTTGAACATGGTGAAAGAGTGCTTAGACAAGGGCCCGTTTTGATCATATATCGCACGAGTTCGATATTCCTAGACACACGGGTGTCCTAGTGTGTTTCAAGTACATGAGACTTGCCAGATTTCGTATGATGGTTTCCATTGCTTTCCCTTTTCAACCCACTCCAAAGGAATTCATTCAATAGAGGTATTGGCTACCCCAGACTGGGACCACTAACACAACCTCTACCTGGAGTCCTGTTGGCGCCGGCGCAACAGGACGCTGTGGGTTCGACGCGTTTTGTCGGACCCTGCTCACCTTGAGTTTGGTTGAGTTCCCTCAAAGGGAGGTTTGCCATTGGTTATGAGTTTCCCACAAATTGCAAGAAACAACGTTAACCCTGGAGTGAGTTGCCGCAGAGAGACGGTTCAATCATTTGTATGGTTGGCTAGCATTGGGCCCGGACCCTGCATGTTTTGTGTGCTCCCCGGAAAGGCCACATGTTTTCCAAGCTTTGGTGGTTTATTTCGGTTTCCCCCCCCCAAATTTCATTCAGCCTGGGCAGGTTCAATATGGTTCAATGAAGGGCTCTCTTTTCCTTTGGGAAGCTTTCAGGTCGACTTTGAATTCATCGACCTGGTGGATTCTTAGGGTGGTCCCCCCCCCCCCCGGAAAAAAAAAGAAAAAAAAGGTCAAGGTCTCACCAGGGGTCGATTGCTCCATGGGCACACATTTCGTGGAGAGGCAATCCTAAGATTCCAATGCCCGTGGCCTTGGCTTTTCTAGGGCCTCCCGCGGAAGACTTTTCATAGCAACTCCACGGGCGCCATGCCCGATGTAACTAGCTCGTAGGAGCGAACGCCCAAGCTACAAGCTGAGGAGTTTCGGAGAGACTCCGTTTGTTGCCAAGGGCCAAAGAGCTGAGTCAAGCCGAAGGTTGCTTGAGGATTCCTGATTTCCAGTTTCGGAGTTTATGATTTGATCCCAGATCCCAGATCCCTTGGCTTGAGCGTTTCCACTTTGAGATTTGCTAGGCGTTTGCCCAGATCCTTGTGCCGGAAAAACACACCGGCCCAGGCATGAAGAGTCTTTTCAAGTCCCCGCGCTCGGTCTTCGCGATGCGGTTCATGAATGGCCTGAACAGCGCCTGCGGCCAATTTGATCGCAGTTGTTCAGTGGCACTAATTCTTTCTCCTTCTTTGTTTGGTGGGCTTCCCCGCAGCCTCGGCCACGGCCGCCGTAGAAGCCGGTGAATCGGGGAACAATCCCTAAGGCCCTAAGGGATCTTTTGGGGGTCTCAGCATGGTGGCCACGAAGCGGTCTGTGTTTGCTTCTCGGCTTGGATGTTGCGGAAGCCATTTTGAAGGTCCACGTTTGGAGTTCCTAGAGGTGTCCTTCTTGGTTGGTTTGCTTAAAAAATAGAGGGCGATTCCTGGTTTAGATGGGGTTTCTTCCATTTGCCAGGGAAACCCATCGATCTTTCCGGAAAAGGCCACCTTCGGCTTGGAGTTCCTCCATAGCGGTGTCCATGAGTTGCAGCCCGAGGTATGATCGCCGAGGCCGCGAACGCCAGCTCTTTGAAGAAGCAGGCAGAACTCAGAGCGCCAATTGCCGTTTTGGAAGCACGAATCCCAACGTCAAGCCACGTGCTTCTCAACCATTCTTGGGATAAGGCTAGGTCCCCCAGCTAGGTGCCCTTTTACCGTTTCTTTTTTTTGGGGAAGGGTTCCCCTACTAAAGTAGACTACAGAAGAATAAAAAGGTACCCTTATTTTAACCTCTCTACTGGAGGACCTAGAAGGGCAATCCTTTTAAACCGCATTTCTATTTCCCCACATCATTGTGTGGGGGTTCTTGCTTTTACCGCTCGTCGGCCGTCGCCGTTGCCTCCTTCCTTCTCCTCCCGCCTCCCGCCTCCTTCCGCCCTCACTCACTCCACTCCACTCCACTCCACTCCACTCCACTCCACTCCACTCCCCTCCCCTCCCCTCCCCTCCCCTCCCCTCCACTCCACTCCACTCCACTCCACTCCACTCCACTCCACTCCACTCCACTCCACTCCACTCCACTCCACTCCACTCCACTCCACTCCACTCCACTCCACTCCACTCCACTCCACTCCACTCCACTCCACTCCACTCCACTCCACTCCACTCCACTCCCTCCACTCCACTCCACTCCACTCCACTCCACTCCACTCACTCACTCACTCACTCACTCACTCACTCACTCACTCACTCACTCACTCACTCACTCACTCACTCACTCACTCACTCACTCACTCACCAACACCCACACACCACCCACGCATCGGCTCGGCAGCCACTCACTCACTCCACTCATCTTCACTCACTCACTCACTCACTCACTCCACTCACTCCAATCACTCCACTCACTCCACTCACTCCACTCACTCCACTCACTCCACTCACTCCACTCACTCCACTCACTCCACTCACTCCACTCACTCCACTCACTCCATCCACTCACTCCACTCACTCCACTCTCCACTCACTCCACTCACTCCACTCACTCCACTCACTCCACTCACTCCTCTCACTCCACTCACTCCACTCACTCACTCACTCACTCACTCACTCACTCACTCACTCACTCACTC